AGTCATGGGCTAAGCTTGCCACAAGTGATGAGTTAACCCCCGCCCTCAAAGGAGTTTACTTGTTGGAAGCAGGGAAGGCGGGAAAACCCCGTGAAGATGGAAACCCTGACGTAGAACATCAACCACCGTCTACCTTCAGCCGAAATGAATTTGGTCAACACTACCAAGTCTTTGGAGCCCAAGCTCTCCTTTCGAAACCTCTTCATGCAGCAGTGCGCCACATGGTGGAGACAGACTTGCAGAAAGTAGTAGGCGAGGAAACGCCAAAGAAGAGGGCGTTGATCCGCTTGGAGGAAGCGAAAGGCAAGGGAGTTTTGTCGTGGTTGACAACGCAAGGGCTGTCAGCAGTTGAAAGAGTGCTGCCTGATCTATATCGAANGAAGCAGGGAAGGCGGGAAAACCCAGTCAAGATGGAAACCCTGACGCAGAACATCAACCGCCGTGTACCTACAACCGAAATGAATTTGGCCAACACTACCAAGTATTTGGAGCCCAAGCTCTCCTTTCGAAACCTCTTCATGCAGCAGTGCGCCACATGGTGGAGACAGACTTGCAGAAAGTAGTAGGCGAGGAAACGCCAAAGAAGAGGGCGTTGATCCGCTTGGAGGAAGCGAAAGGCAAGGGAGTTTTGTCGTGGTTGACAACGCAAGGGTTGTCAGCAGATGAAATAATGCTGCCTGATCTATATCGAAAGTCAACCGGTCGTGTACTGGGGAGTCACGATCGAGCAGACTGCGACACAGGCAGAATTTGTGGTGCAGGTACATTGTTACCATTCAAGGACCGCTTGAGCCGAGCCCACTCCCTCGTCTGTACCAAGACCGGCGCCTCAACCTTCCTCCATAACAGGATGGTTCGCATAATCCTCAAGACACTGCGTGAGTGCCATATGCCCATCGCCATTGAGGATTCTTCCCCTTTTACCACAGGCACTGGTAGGGGAAAGGCTATACAAGTTGGATTTGGTGATCCCCCCAGGATTGCACGCAGGAGAGAAGGAAGAGGAACTCTGCACCAAGTCCATTCTTATAGACGTAACAATCGTCAACCCATCCGCAGGTCGAAGCATCGACAAGTCGATGCAAAAGCCAGGATCTGCCCTCGAAGATCGAGCCGCAAGTGAGGCAAATCACTGTGCGGGAACTTTCAACCCGTCTAGATCTACCCTCCTTACTGCTGCTTTTTCAACGAATGGTGGTCTTGGCAAAGGCACCAATCGACTCATCGTTGCTATCGCCAACCACTTGGCGCACGAAGCTTTTTGCCGGGAAAATTTTGACGACGAGAGGGCCTTAGTTCGCCTGAAAGCTTTTCATACTAACAGGATTCGGAGACGGTTTACCTTCGAGCTAGCTCGTTTTCTGTCGATGCGAACTCGCGATGTGTTCAAACGTCATGGGCTACTGATCGACCAACTTCCACCAGGGCCAATCGGTTGGGATCTCTGCGACAACGATAGTAATGAGGGTACTTCTTTTGGGAGTGACGGAGACGAAGGAAAGAGAAAGGGAAGAAAGGAGGACGAAGACGACGATGCAGGAGAAAAACATGGAGGAATGGAAAAGAGCAAAGGGTTTGAGCCAGATGACCTTCCCCAAAAGAAAAAACGTAGGACTAGGGAAAAACTGCCCAGAGATTCTTGTCAAAATGAGGATCAGAATGATGGTAGCGAACACAAGGAGGATAATGTTGAAAGTACTCCAAAACGACTCGAGTACAAGGTAGTAGCCTTGGTAGACACGTGCAGTTTTCTTCTGTTGCTGCTGTTTCTGTCTTAAATCCGAAGGATAGTTTAGCCTCCCCCATGCTGCCCCCTCACGGGGTCCCAGTTCATGACAGATAAAAATGTCTTGTGTTTTCAACCGCACTGAGACTGACGTCTTTTCATTGGTCAGCCGGTTAGCGCGGTCGATGCTAACAATAAAAACACACACATACGTGCGTGTTTGGTGAACTGGCCGGTTCATGCTAGAATACCGAATGTTTGCCTACATTGTTTCGGCTGTTGACGCTCCCTGACCAAACATGTACACAAAGGATCACAATAATTTGCAATTTTTGGGGTCTTTCAAGCGTTATTTGCATATTTTATGCATGGGCTATCGGTATTTTTCCCGCCATGAACTATCCGCCCTGGTGCGCGGTAACGGGAAACCGTCGGTGCTCCGCCGGTTCTTCTTCTACCGCCTCCGCCAAAGTCGGGTACTGCGGAATATTACAAAACACACCGAAAAATTCCGCCACTCCACATTCTATGCTAGGTACATATGGACGCCGAAAAATCACAGCGGATCGATGCAGTTCCTCCTTGGCACCGGTACTCGTAATGGTCTTTGGAACGCCGTCCGTGGTTTGTGTGCGAACGCCCCATGGGGCGCCCTATCAAATTCCTAAGTACTAGGTATCTCATAGGTAGAGGGACGCAAAAGAAAAAAATTAATCCCGGGGCTAACTCAAACGTTTTTGCTACCCCGGCCGTATTGTTTTGTTGGAGGGTATACTCAAAGCCGTGCATGCCGTTGTCGTTAGACCTTTGGCCTCGCATCCCTACAAAGCCGGGACGGAGCGATATGCCAGGTTCTCGCCGGACCAGGTTGTCACATCACCAAGCTCCAAGCGCCGTGAGGGAGTCGGCGAGTCGCATGGAGGGTACGTGCATCCTGCGAAGGGTGTTCGGCATCTTTGCTTACGTGCTTGCACACGGATGACACCTGTGCATGGCTTAATTCACTTTCTGGCGGTTTGACTTCCAGAGACAGCTAAGGCACTGTGCCACTACCTCGAGTCTGCTTGACCAATTTCACGCAACGTGGTGCGATCATCCCTCTGCCCGGAATGAGGGTTCTCGACCCCGCACAATATACTCGACCACCGTCATGCTTACCGCAAAACTAAGCGGTAAACCTGGTTGCCGAGCTCACAAAGCGGTCGGCGTGTTGTACAACGTCGTTGCTAAAAGGGGAAAACCCATGGGGGGGGGAGGGGAGGGGGGCTAACTCATGGAGGGGGGCGTTCTCAAAGGATACATTAGGATAGGCGGTCCCAGCTCATGCTTGCGGCTGCTGATTGCTGCTCAACTGCTGCTGCCGCCGCTACCTCTGATGTTGCTGCCGACGTTCCAGACATAAACCACGAAACCCAGCAGACCCAGTGGAACCACCCGGCCGATCCCACGCCCGAGTTACGACGACCGCCGAGCTACGAGCCCCCGAGCACGGACCTCTACGTCGCGCAAGGAGTTGCAACTGCCACGGCGGTGCCGGCACCCCTGTTCGTGCAGGCAGTCGGAGCACAACCAGGAATTCAGGTGAAGTAAAATAAATAAGAAGCGCAGTAAGGCCGTACCTGGGTGAACAGATTTGTAAAAGGTTCGCTGGGCTGTCCGAGGGTGGGAAGCCTCACTTGACGGCAGCTGGCAGCTGATCCACACCAACACACATGCTTTTCTTTCGTCTTGCGTCACGCCTTGATGACACTGCTACTCTGCTTTGCCGAGCCCACTCACGAGGCTCGCCTTATATATATACTTCCTCTGTATCATAAGTCTGGTCTGTTAGGTTTATACGCCGCCTTAACGTTGTGCGATCTGTTTTTCGTTTTTTTTGTTGAATTCTACAACGGCGTTTTTTGAGCAAGAAAACATTTTTTTTTTTTGAAGCTGGTGCTTGAACCATGCGACTAAACGGCCGGAAAACTTTGAGTCGGCCCAAAAACGGCCATATTTTGCCCTTTTCCGGGGGGTGGGGTACGTGGGGCATTGAGCCTAACCCCCCCCCAAAAATCCAAGAACTATCCCCAACCCTAAAGCTAACCCCGCCTAGACTCGGCCATCCACAATACGTCCCCATACTAAAACCATATTGATAGTGTATGGGTATCCATCGTTTGCATAGTGTGTGGGGGTGGTAATCACGACTGATCTCACGAATTCTCCAAAAAATCTCAAAACAGGCCAAAATGGGCATATTTTGACCTAATTTTAGTGTACAACATGGTCTTCGATTTTTTTTTCTTTAGTCAGCTTTGCCTATGTCTTGCCTTTCTAACGCACCCAGCCAAAGGCTAAACGTCAACGTGTAAGTATCTTTGCTACTACACGCACATAACAGACCAGACTTATGATACAGAGGAAGTATATTACTAGAGTGCCGTACGGTGGACAGCGATAGACGCCGCGTACCACCGACCGCCCCCGCCACGAAAGCGGCGTACGCGTGGCGTTGCAGTTTACCGTATGTTGCATAAGATATCACACCCCCTGGACATTTTTTCGAAGGTCGAATACTCCACGGCGAAGAGGATGGCAAAATCGAAGTATATGTTTTCGGAAAGATCTCGACGAAACGGTTTCAACGCAACGTTTTCGGCACCGTCACCGCTTTTCCTGCCGAGATATCGAGCTTCGAAATTCGGTCCAGGGGGTGTGATATCTTAGGCAACCTACGGTAGCTTGTTGCCTTTGTCTCGACTTGTCTCGAAGCTATTGACGTGGTGTTTTTTCTGGACCATGCCCCCTTCTCTCTACGCGGGCCTTACTTCACCCCCCCAAGTAGCGCCACACGCGAGGTAGTGGGTTGTAAGCTGCTGTGATGCCTATTCTCACCCCCCAATCCCCACGGCTTGTATCGTACTTCTTGGATCAACTTGCCACCTGTGTCATGTCGGGGGTTGCGCCGTCCTGTTGTAGCACTTACCCAAGTCGACTCCTCGTTTCCTTCCACAGGACACGACCTGCACCTGCGTAGAAAACGTCTTTTTGAGCAAAGTAGTCAAAGGCGGTCTTTTCGTTCGTGCTCCGTATGATTGTGTGTATGTGTGTCTCTCGCTGTGTCATCGCTCTCTCGAGCGGAGTGAAATCGTTGTCATGAACTTGCCGTGCCCCCCCCCCGCCCCC